ACGCAAGGAGTCTCAATAGACTAACGGTTTCAATTGTCGGTGGAGTATTAGATTGATTAGATAGAATTTGATTTAAGGTAGGTGTATATGCACTCCCTCTCGCCATTAATGTTTATTTTGTCCGATGTTTAACTAAACCTCTACCTATCAACTCTGACCCTCACGAGGGGAGCCTCACGAACTTAGATATTCATTTATAGAATTCTAAAATACCAACTCCATTTTACACAAGGATCACAATTATTTAATTATAATATAATTTGGTACACAATTTCTTACAAGTGGTTAGACAAATTACTCCCATTATGTAAAATATTTTACTATTACGTGAAATGACTCGTTCTTGCAATTTACACATGCATGTGTTTGGTTTTATAAAGTCGCCCAAAATTTGAAAACCACCAAAATGTCTCCAATCAACTTGCTTTAAAGGGTTCCATTGTCCTTCCAATACATCAGATGGGATTCAGTCTTGGACCCACATGTCTAGATCATGAAGCATTGAACTCACTTTTTTTTTTAAAAAAGAAGAAGATAAGTGTCCAATGGGACCCACAATAGCATGATCCTTTTTTGACTGATGACACTCTTTATGTATAATCTCTCACCGTTTTCAGCATATGTTCAGATGTTCTCACCACCTTAAAGAAGATTATTAATAGCTGGTTGTATGTTTTAAGTTAACATTACCAATTTCTTATAAAGTGTCCAGTGAGACCCACAATTTATTATTCGTATTTAACTTTAAATATTACTACTTCGGTCGCAATTTAAGTGTCGGATATAAAAAATAGTAATTTTTAAGAAAATATGTGAGATATGTACCGTTTATCTAAAAAATTACTAACTTGTTCTTTTAATTTTAAAATTTTAAATTTAAAGAATATATATGAAGAGATGTGAAATATATTGTTTAAAAAGAAAAGTAAATTATTATTTTAAGACAGATAAAAAAAAAACATGATACTTATTTTGAGACGAAAAGAGTATTAATAATAGATGGTATGTTTTAACATTATTATTTTCTTATGATTTTTTTATTTTTATTTGTGAAATTTAAGTCGAACAAATAAAATTCAAATTGAAGCGGACTAATTTCTGATGTAAACGATGTCAAAGGAGAACGTGAGTGGCGGCATATGGTTGGCGTTGACGCCACTCCGAGCACCAAAACGTGCGGTGGATTCTACTTTTTCTTTGGGAGTGGGGGAGTCTGTGTGACCCATTAGTAGCATTTACTATTTCTTTCTACATTTCCTTGACTAGGAGACACTTCAATTCATTGAGATCTGCACATCTTTTTCTTTTTCTTTTTCTTTTTCTTTTTTTCTTTTTCTGCAAGACACCTATTTAGACTTTATTAGCCTCTAATACAATATTGTTATAGTAGTATTATATTGTAGACCATACATTGATCCGTCTATTCCCACACACACATATATATATATATATCTATATTATAGTTATTATCAATTATTGTAAATGAGCCCGGTCGAAATTCATATATATATATATATATTTTTGGTAAGTAAGGATAATAAACATAAATGAGAAAAAAATATACAAATGTAAATTGGGCATACCCATGCCTACAATCAGCCCAGAGCCATTCGGGCCAAAGCAATAGAAGAGTCCAAAAACAAAGGCCATAAGAGGAAACAAAAAATACAAAAAATGTGAAGTCCAAACATGCCCTTAAATTTAAAAAATATTGAACCCTAACCAGTAACTAACTGAACCAAAGACGAGGCATGATTATCAACAATTATACAAGATTCCGGCTACTAATGGGAAAGTGGTGGTGGGTGTTGGTTTATAGGTGGGCTGGAGGAGGTCACATCAATGGTGTTGGTGGCAATGGAAGGATGTGGTTGAAGGTTTGGGAGGTTTGTAGTTGGTGAGAAACACCGGAAGGGATTCGAATGTGAAGCGTCATAAAAGGATGATGGTGGATACCAGTCATTTTCAATGTTTTCTGCATGGGGGCAATCACATTTTTTGATTGAGAACAGCTTGGTTCGTACAGTGTTGATCACCAAGTTCAAAGTCGACAATAGAGGTAATATTTTGCTCCTAAACATTCTGTTGTTTCTCTCCTTCCAAATACGAGATATACGTAACTGGCTAATACCAGCTTTCAAGTTATGATTTGACTGAATTTTAACTTTTGTTTCCAATTTATGTGCTTGATCAGGTACTGGAGAGTCCAGTCCTTCCAGATGCTGGTTGATTCATTAGAATATAGAGTTCATTATAATATAGAGTCCATAGGTGTCTAAGAATGGATGCATTGTTCCATTGTTGGAGATCACATATGCCTAGTCCTCATGCCTTCTTTGGGGTGCAAACCATATTATAATCATATTATACACTTCTCAACACGTTATTTCTTTTTAACAAAAAAAATTGTTCTAATATCGTGAGACGTCCTCTGTCTTTTCAGGATCCGTTTCAATACATGAGAAAGAAAAGAAAAGAAATAGTAACATTAATTATAAGATAAAATAAAAGAAACGATATCAATATTGGATAGATAGGAGAGGAAAAAAAAAAAATTGATAGAATCCTTGTTTTGACGAGATAGATGAGAGGAAATAAATGAAATGATAACAACCAAATTACTATCATACCATTTTAATTAGATGGAAAATGAGTAGAATAACAATTTTCACCTTCTATCTTTTCTCTCCCAATCCCTCCTTATCCCTTACAACTCTCTCATTTCTCTCATTTTAAACAATTCAAATACAATCTACACTGTCATTTCATTTCTTCTCCCTTACCATCCCTCGATTCCCTCCAAATCCCTCAATCCAAATAGAGCCTTAGAATAAAGGTTTAGAGTTCAACTACCCTAATATGTACAAATAAATGTGTGAGTTTTTTTTGACAAATAAAATGTACTCTAAAAAAACTACTCTTATACTACCATATCTATGAAAAGTGGAAACCCTAGTATTTACACAGAATTTTATAATAATCAGTAATTTTTTTTTTTTTTTTTTTTCATGGTTTGAATTGATCTGCTCAACGGTAAGTTGGACTTATGGTACCGTCCAAAGTAGTGGCAGTTGATTCATTCTAGAAAATCCAATGGTTGGTCCAATCGGTAGGTCAAAAGCCCATTGGATCACGTAATCTGCTGACTTCTCTCAATTTCAAAAGCCCATCAGGTCACTAATCAACTATGACACGTACACTTGACTTTTTTTCTCAATTTTTACATTATTTATTATATTTAAAATTCGTAGTCAATCTATTTTTTTTTAGTCTTTTTCTTTTTTTCTTTTTCTTTTTCTTTTTCTCATTAGCAAAATATATACATAACTCACACATCCATTTGTTTCTTTTCGAGAAACCGAACCCTTACCGTCCACTTTAAAAAATAAAAGATATATGCGCCAAGGCCCTTGGTAATCTATTATTTTTATTCAAAAACTTAGAAAGAGACCTGACTGACTTCTTTTCTTTCTTAAAATAATTTTCAAGAACATGTGAATAACATATAAATAAATAAAGAATAAATTGCAGGAGAAAAAAAACCTACTATGTAAAAAATTGTGTAAAAAAACACCTTTGCAATTTAGTATGTAAATATAAATTTCTTAACATTTAAACATTTAGTATGTTTTCTAAAATCCCAAAAAAAACCCTTAATATAGCATTAAAAGCTTAAATCAATATATATATTTTTATTATTATTTTTTTTCTTAAAGGCATTTTAGGTAATTTAAGAAAATCCGTTTTAATAAGCAAGAACTAATTAGAGATATCCAACTCTAACTAATGCTACAATTTCAGTTCAATTGGGGGTTTGGAAAGCAAATTGGATTTGGACCGGTTAGGTTTCATTTATTTCTAACATTTGATTCATCATTGCATGTTTAAATTGGCATAGCTTTTGGAAGATGAAAAATTACTGTACGATCTTGAACAATTACTATATGACACTTAAGTAAAAAAATTAAATAAAATTAATACGTTTACTTATATATCAGATATTGGACTGAACCAAGTAATAATTTCTCAAGTTGCTAAACCTAAAGAGTGCACCAGCCCAATGATTTGGACCATAGCTTATGGACCAATCACAATCCTAAACACCCAGTTGTAAATGCAAAGGGAAAGAATTTAAACCCAGTCATTGAATGCACACATACATACAATTAATCACTAGTTTCTTGATGAGGGCTGCTAAATTCTAGTATAAATTAGTGTGAAAATAAACTAACAATAGAAAACCAATCTAAAGTGCACAAAAATATCCATGTAAATCTTATCCAACATCCACAATCCAGGTTCACAGAATTTAACCGATGGGTTGAGCATATAAACACTTAAAAAAAAGGACATTAAGAGTTTGTTTGGTTTGATTTTCTAAAAACGGTTCTCAAAAAATTTAGAAAAATATAAAACAATTTTCAAAAACTTTCAACCAAATGGACTGAAAATCTTGTCCAGCAAAAAAAAAAAGTCTTGTTTTGTCCGGTTAGTGATATACCTTACAAAAATATTGTACGAAAACATAACTAAAAGGATGACTACTGTTTCGCATGTTAGGATTTTGATCACAAACAAATATGATTTTTTAATTTTTAATTCTTAGAAAACTATTCTTAAAAATCCAAGGCAAACAAACTCTAGACCTCTTAGGAGAAACCCTAATTATCCTTCGGACTCTAATCCCTTGGGAAAAACACACGTCATAATGTATTCGTAGAGGAGGGAACATGAATTACTGTTTCGGAGGAGAGAATTTTGATCCCAACCAAATACAGTTTTCTAGTAATTTTTAGTTCTTAGAAAACTGTTATTAAAAATCCATGACAAAACAAACTCTAGATCTATTGGGAGAAACCCTAGCTATCTTTCTCAACTTGCAGACTCTAGAGTCTCTTGGGAGAAACCCTAGTTATCTTTCTCATCTTTCAGACTCTAGAATCTCTTGGGAGAAACCCTAGTTATCTTTCATATTTCAGATTGCATTGTGACAACGAAAGTAGGAAAAGAAGTTGATAAGATTTGCATCATTTCTAAGAGCATTGCAAACACAAATTATGCATAAATACACACGTGCTACAAACGCACATAGGCATACACACAACAGACACCACCAAACAAGTTACAAGACATCACACCAACGTACCATCACTAACCACCAAAGCCTCTAAAAATGTCATTTCTAGTAACAAGAGAGACATAAACCCCATGATAGAAGCAAGCACGACATAACCTCATGATCTGCATTTCATTGGTCCAATTACAAAACCACCAAGGGGAAACAACCAGTTCCACCGTATCGACAATGATGGTCGTCACATTGATAGCATCTCTTGCTCACAGCCACACACAGGAAATTGAAGTTGATCGATGGATGGATGCATGCATGCATGTAGTGCTCTATCGAGGCCCCATAGCAGAAAAGAAGTATGTGATGAACTGAGAACACGTCTCCCTCGTGCAATTTCCTAAGAAAGGAAAACCCCACAATGGATACTATGTGACGAGATCACGAAGATGGTAGAAAAAGTGAAGAGTTGGGGCCTAATTCACCCACCAAGCCTGCACTCTTCCCTTTCTGGAGCCAGCTGGGATAACCAGACTTTGCAATCCACACCACTACCCTCATGCGCAAAATAGTGAATGTCACTTTGTTTGAACCCCAAGGCATCAACTAATGATTCACCACTCTTTTATTGGGGTATGATATACTGCTCTTTATGCATGTATATATATATATATATAGAGAGAGAGAGAGAGAGAGAGAGAGATGTTTCACCGGCCAAAGCTACCAATTCCAACACCCTCGCTGAAGAAAGACTTCATGAGTGTTTCAAGCTTCCTTTCCAGAACATCCGGTTTTCATTTCTTATGTCGGGAAAATCAGATTCAGCAGAAACTGTCCTCTCCAACTAATGTTTTCCAACTTATTGTGCACACAAATTAACAACTTCTAATGAAGCATTAGTACTACTATTCTCATGAATGCTATCGTTTCGTCTCAGAGAGTATTGACTCCTAATTCCTTGGCTTTGCGCTTCAATGATCTCAAGTAATGGATAGCTTCATCAAGAACCACAATTGCATCCTTGCCCTTCCCGCCAGGAATTATACTCCGGAGAATGCTAACAGTCTCGCGTATTTTCTCCTTCCTCGACATCTTGTTGCCCAATGAGGAACCAAATTCCCCTAACTCTTGATTCTTTTCAACAGCACAACTAGATTCTGCATCAGCCTCATACTCAAAGCATTTATTGGGTTCCTCAGAGCTTGGCATTTTCACGAATGATGGTACAACATAACCTATATCGGACAGTTTCTGTCGTTTGGTCGACTCAGCAGAACTAACAACTTCTTCTGCATTTTTCTCAAGCCATTCGTGCTTATCATAAGCTGTCACTGTACTTGGAGAGTGACCCGTGCTTGTTTCTTCATCATCCTCAGAATAACTGGTATTATCATCAGAGTAAAGCAAGGCATTGAGTTCTTCTGTGTCTTCATGCATCTCACTCTCACTATCATCCCTGTGATTTTCATTATGCTCATCAGTCAAAATTGGACCAGATTGATGAATTTTATCCATCTTGATTCCTGGTTCTTCCCTATTCAGATCGTAAGCACCAGGAGGTTTGGGCATCCAAGAAGTCATACGCTGAACAGGAGGAGTCCCAATCCCAGAACTAAAAATCAAGGTGGTTTGATCACCGGACTGATCAAACACAAGAAACTTCTTCTGAGCACATCCAGTAGCTGGATTGGGTGTGACAACCTCCCTGCCATTCTCATAAGGATCAGCAATTACTTTCTCTTTGAAAACGGAGTTCGACATAGCAGTGGATGCCTGACGATAACGAGGTAAACAATAAAACCAACCATGAGGTTCATTTGGGTGGCTCGCCTTAAAATGTGGCATCCCAGAAAATGGAAACGCAGGCAACATCCCATTTGTAGAAATCATATTAGTGCCGGGCCTCATGCAAGGCGGGATGGTGTTTTGTTGCCCCAGGTCCAATGGAGACCGCAGGGAATTCAAATTGGGTGATTGCCAATCAGAATGCGGGTGTTGAAACCAGGACCCCAAGTCCTTTTCCATCCAACCAAAACAATCACCTATCAATTAACAAACAAAAAGACCCAACCTATCAGATAAATCAGGTGTAAAATAAACTGCAGTTACACAAATGACAGGTAGGATACGGCAAAACATACCAGAAGAATGATATATGCAGTATGAGGGATTGCTGATCACTTCTTGTATCTTACAGGAACAATGGAAAAAACTAAAAACTCCAGCTTAACTTGAATGCAAATCGGGGAAAAACAAACTACGTAACCGGTTTAAGCAAATGACGGAAATATTCGGCCTGACAAACACACAGAAACTAAAATCATACAAAAATTTCTAGACTACCAACATAAATTAGAAGCACAAAGCATCATCATTTGAAGGACACAGAGTGTCTATACATGTATATATATATACAAATCAAAAGCTCAAACATCAACAAATTGACTGCGAATCAAATATTACTAACCTGACAATCTTGAAGTTGTTGAAAGCATGCTATTACTCTAACTATAATGGTGGCGTTCCCGGCAATCCCATTCTCATGTTTCAGTGCCCGAAATCTTGTTTGGCTAGCTGCTTGGCACACCATAACTACTACTTCCCAACCCTTTTTAATTAACACAAAGATCGCGTTAACTTCGATCAAGCAACAATCAAAAGTACCAAACACCCTTCAACCGAAACTCAAGCAGATGACAGATATTGAGAGAAAATGATCAAAGACGTATCAAGCAGCAATCAAATAACCAAACACCCTTCAACCAAAACTCAAACAGAAGACAGATATGGAGAGAAAATGATCAACGATGTATCTGAATCAATGTGGAGAATGAAATGAGTAAATTTTGTGGAACAGAAAGTTCAGCTGATCCTGCGGACGTAGCAGGGAATGACTACAAAGAGATTAGATCCCATGGAAGGAAAGGAAAGAAATGTATGGAAGGGAAGGGAAAGGAAATGGAGGATTGTGATCTGATAGAGGGATTTACAGAATCACACGACAATAAAGGTTCAGAGAGATGACTTTTCGGAACACGTCAATAGAAAGACTGTACCACCGCATGCTGTTCTTCTCTGTAATTTGATCGCCACAACTACCACTTTTGATTTCAACTATGCAAAGTCCCTGCAAAAGTAGTACATTTAGATCTCCCAGATATGTATATATATATATAGACCTATAAGTAAAAGAGAAAATGAAAGAAATCTGAGGAAGAAAGTAAAACCCTTTTTTTACGATGTAAAACCCTGTTTGGTTGCTGAGAAAATGGAGGAAAGTGAATGCAAGCATTTTTGGAAATTAAGATTTTTGTTACTAAAAGTTACAAGTCTAGATATCAGCTCAATTTAGGGGTTGTATTAGGCAAAGCTGAATCAGGATTTGTGTTACTCTGTGTCTCAAATACAGGGAAAAATGGGGTATTTGCAATTCTAATCTTTCGCCATTCATACCTTTTCTCAGTAACCAAACAGAGCTAGAGCTGACAAATAATCTCAATATATGCAGTTCAAATAAAAAATAACTTTCTTCAATCAACGATGCAGAGCATAACAGAACAGAACAGAACCCATCAGAAGCTTTTGAGAATTTTCCGGGAAAGTGAATGAAAAACACAAAGCAATTGAAACCCACAAGAGAGATCGGAAAATATATCAACAAAAACACACAGAGTCACACATACAAAACCCAAAGGTCTTTCGTACAAAGCATGTGGGGCTCAAGAGAAACAAATCAACAACAAAACAATGAACCCAGAAAAGATCGAAGAACAAACTAACTTACAAGCACAGCCAATTATCAAGTAAGACCTCGAATAGCTTATCCACCAGAGATTGATACTCAGATCGAACACACGAGAAGACCCAAAAGGCGTTGCAGAGAAAAAGAAATGGCAGAGAGAGAGAGTATCGTAGAGAGAGATAGAGAGAGAGAGAGAGCACAGTCAAAGTCGAAACATGAGAGAGTGCACGTATGGTGAGACTATATAGACAAAGGAATTGACATGAATGTCCTTTTGGCTCGTGCGGTGGTGGGGACTACAGTTTTCATACGTGCGTAGTACACGCTTGGTATCAGTGTACAATCATGTGCAACACACACATATATATACATACATAGATGTAACTGTGTGTTTGTGTGTGTGTGGTCAATATCCAATATCGTAGATGAGCGAACCTGCTTGGGACGTGGGTGGACCCGTCGGTGGTTGCATAATGCATCATGATTCCATGAGTCCGTGTCCAGTTGTTTGATCCATGTGTGCGGTTCGAACCAACCCTCTTTGATTAATATGGACTCACCATTTAATGTCAACACACACACACACACACACACACACACACACACACAATGTTGATGTATGTGTGTTATTCCTATAATGCCCTTGGTTTGATTGAAAATTCTCTTCTTTTCTCTTTATGGGAAACTATAATTGAGGCGAATTGATAAGTGATTAAGAAGTATAATTGAGGTGAATTGATTAGTGCTTTACTCGTGTGACCTTTAATTAATGTAGCCAACTATTGAGTTTACATTATACCTGCTCAAATTAATTATGTTCTACTGTTTAAATCAATGAATTGAAAGGCCAAGAATAATCACAAACCACAATACCATAAATGGTGATTGGAAAAAAAGAAGTTATAAATGGTGATTGAACATCCATTAAACTCAAATGACATGACCCACAATTTATTTTAATTTAGAGTTTTGCTAATCCGAGTTGCTTTGCTAATCACCCAAAGAGTTGGGCAACTGTCTCATTATGATCTAATAGTATTCTTCTTTATTCTATACTTTCTTCCCGAAAGAAAGGGGGGTGAAGAGAAGATACTGCATTCATTCAATAGAAAGGAGACAATGAGAGAGAAAGAATGGATACAAATTTTCATCACTTCTAATATGGACGGATGGAAGACAAATGACCTATTAAAAATGTTTTGAATTACAATATTAACCTTTATAAATTACAATAATGTAGTTAGCGATAGATATAATAGTAAAAACAATTTAAAACTTTATCTTCCTTCTCTCCTCACGAACACATTAAGTTGTTACTTTATTATGTTATCTTTCATCCAACCGAAAAAAGAGAGAATAATACAATATTTTCTTCAAGGATGTCTCTTCCATTGCTTCTTCTCTCATTTGTATCCAAATTTTTTTGCGAATACGTAAATTTTGGTTTTTTATTTTTCCACCATTATTTCAATATAAAACACTAAACTCTTCTTTCTTCACTAATGCATTCATTGATCTTTCTTACACATAACCACTCTAGTTTCTCCCATCTCATCTTCAATGGATACAAATTTCAACTATTTCATGAATATAAGAATATCTACATGTATGTGACGCTTATATAATCATATCTTCATTGCATTTTGTGTAATATATAAAAATGAAATGGTCTAATAATTATTCTATACTTCTCTATATAGCAAATCTTCTTTTGATTTTATTAATACGCTCATCTTCAATCTCAATAACTAATTTTAGGTAATAAAGTTATTTACTTTTTATGTCTGCTAATTATTGATCTTATATTTGTTTAATTCGATCTATTCCTTAGCTTTGTGGTATACACTGTAAATTGTGGACATCGCTATGGAAAATCTGAAGCTCAATTGTGCCCTAATGCCAAAATCTGAAAGCTATTTGGCATAGCAAGCAAAAAGACAGAAGTTGGCGCCATAAAGAAACCACTGTGATTCTTCAACTTGCAAAAATAAAAATAAAAATACTAATAAAAGACTACAACCATATATCCATACCAACCCATAATGACATCTAGATTCTAATATTACCCCCTGAAATTAAAATAAATAAATAAAATAAAATAAAATAAAATTCATTTTTACCCCCTTTTACTCAATATCTTGGATTCGATTATGCATAGATGTTTACTTCCGTAACTTTGACTAAATAATTTATTTTGATATTTTGTCTCAAATATCACTGCTGAAAAATGATAAACTTAATAATGATAGACTGATAATTAGTAATTGAGATAAATTCCTTAAAAGGGAGAATCTATTCTTTTTAAAAGCTTACAAAAATCATTGTTTAAGACCTAAACAAATCGATTGATTTTTACAGCATTACTCATGATTCTATTCTAGATTTAGCATTTAATCCAAATCAAAATTCTCCCTAGTGTACCCTTTTTCTCTGCCACTAATGTGGTCAATTGAATTTTGCCATTGGGAGTGGGTAAAAAAAGAGGAGAAAAGAAATACTATTAAGATTAGGGAAGATGGTATCCTATGTTTGGCATGAATACCAATAATTTGAAGCTTGACCGTTCAAACTATGAATCATATTAACACAATGTAGCCCCCCACTAAAAAACACACTCTCTCACACACACACACACACACACACATTATCTGTATAAATTCGTAGTCCTCCAGTACTGAGTACTCCTCTTCATCCATCTGACAATGTAATATAAGTATCTCCAGTTAGCTCCATCAATGACCTACTTTAAGATTTGGGTTAAAAAGGGAGCTTAGGCCACTGGCCCACCAAAGAGAGTACAATAATACTTTTCATTGACGTGATTCATGGCCATGTCTGAACCACCAAAGAGACCCATCAATCGCTGCCCAAAAACCAGGGTTGGTGACCATATCATCAAAGCTTTACACTACCCACTTACCATTATATTCTGGGTCACTTCTCACAAGTGTGTGTAGTGTGTGTTTTTATTCACTACTTTTTAGTTTATGCCCCCTTTAATCAACTTTATTCTCTCCCTCTTTTTATCTTCTCTTTTTTTCTATGATAGATGAGAATTTTAATATAGTAGTAAATAGAATAATACTCCGGAAATAGTAAAGACATATGTAATGGACTTTATTGTAAGACTTATAAGATCTAACGACTAATGTTGTGCAGTCGTGAAAGTCACAATTGCACGTGGCATAACTCAAGACATAAATATTTTTGGTTAATTAGGGTTTTGGCTAGCATTGGCCGCACATCTAATAGGAAAACTGATGACAGGGATAGGTTTGCTACGAATGTATAACTAAAATTAGGGTGGTAATTGTAATTATTTAAAAGATAGGAAAAGTAAGTGTAATAAATCCTAATTATAGGGGAGGTAAGTATAATTTATCAAAATAATAATAATTAAGAGAATAGACCTCAAATCATCTAAACTTGAATTTTTATTTTATTATTATTATTATTATTTTGGGTAAAGATAAACTTGTTGCAAATCAAGCTGAAATTATAATTATTACAAATCAAGACAAATTAATGATGCAAATTAAAATTTTTTTTTCTTCTGATATTAGAATATTTTGTAGTTTAGTAGTTATTGGAGAAAATATCATGAATTACTCAATAATGCTAAAAAAAAATAAAATAAAATAAAAAAACTTTTCAAGTGTTAAGAACTTATATTTTAATACTAATTAATGCCGAATCATGATTTCAAGTTTATCAGGACTCCAAAAGGGAGGCAAATCAAGCTGTCACTTTTTAGGAAAATTTTGCTTTGGTGGAAAATTCTTGAATGAATGACCATTAAGAATTGTCTCAGCTACCTTGAAGAGACAGGTTGAGAGGGATAGTTAGTATCATACTTGGGTTCTCTCAAATAAAACTAGGGCTTGGTGGAATCAGTTTGGTCCGAGATTTGATTTAATTTGATTTGAATTCTTTTTAACATATTTGAAATTTCATTTAAAAACGTAACGGGTATATACGTTGTTGAAAGATTCATCTGTATTCTATAATTCTTAAGTAGATCGAATTTTACTCGAGGTTCAATCCAAATTTAATTTATTTTTACTCTTGTTTAAAATATATGAGTCGAGTACGGATCATGTCCCTAACAATAAACTATGGATAAAAATAAAAAATAAAAAAACCCCTAAGTTGGCAAATAACACAAACTAACTGAGAATTGATTAAAAAATTGAAAACAAATAAAAAACAAAGATGGCCATGATTTAATCACCTGAAGAAAATCTTATGCACAGATAAGAAGATCCAAGGGACCAAATAATATATATGAAGTCTGTTATAAACTATGGATAATGATATGCATTATGCATACTTTCATGCCCTCTTGTTTGGAGTGGAGGGAACAATAAACATGCCCAGTTAAAGTTCCTCTTTCCCTTTCCCTTTCCCAGTCCCATTGGGTCTACACTTTTTGCAGCACTAACACACTCCATATATAAATATTATATATATATATAAGTGTGTATGAATATGTATATATATTATACACAAGATGTAAAGTAAAAGTGTCTTATATGTTATTTAATTGTCATGCTTACTTTAATCGTCAAACTGTATGGAGTATTAAATAACATTTATATTTTAATTAATTTGTTTATATTTTTAAAAAATATATATAATTTTATACAGGTGTCAGTGGGTGACAGGAGATTAGTGGTTGTGGATTGACCACTTAAATTGAAGTAACAGGGTTTTAGAAGCTACATAAGAGGGTTTAGTTAGTAGCTTACCCACCCGGAAATATTTATGGTTGATTGTGGGACGCACCATAATACCATTGCATAATGTTTGTCATTAGATACATACATTTTGTATTTCATTTTATAAAAATTTATAGTGAAATTGTTATGTATGGCAAAAATGGGAATGATTATTGAAAAATTCTCTTTTTTTTTGCCAACTAGTATCAAATTAGTCTAAAATACAAGGCCATCACAAGTTGTCGAGAAAATTGAAATATTATTAATGCAAGGAATATATTCGTATTTAGGTCAGGATCAAAATTGTTTCCTAAGTAATGACTAATCACTGGACATATCCTACGAATGGATCTCATCGGATTGAAATAGGTGCGTCGAATGGTATCGGAAAATGTATTACTTCCTCCGTCCGGCCTTTTGTTAGTCTAAATGGTTCTCTTAGTCATCAACAAACAACTCGTTCTATATCATAACCTTAAAAATGTAAATAAATGACA